TTTTAAAACCTAAAATGTGATAAAAGTTTATTCGTAAGCTGTATACAAGTTTAGTGTTCAAAAATTGCAAAATTTATTGTATTAAAAATAATGATATATTTTTAAACTAAATTCAATAAAATTCACAAATGATTTGTAATTTCAGAGAACCATTATATATTATTTTTAAGTAATAATTATTTACAAAACCAAATAAATTAGAGCATCAAAAAGTTAGATTTTAGGTAGTTTGTACCTAGCCTCGATTAGATACCTTATTTCAATCATCTATGTTGCTTTTATTTTACTTTTTTTAACAGAAATCTAATAAAATGTGCATCATTTTTTTTTAAATAATAATTTCGCAATAGCGAAATTGATGCGAGAATGCAAAATCATCATTTAGGATAAATGCAAGATGACGCATAAACGAGCTTTGAAGGCAGTTGTTTGATTCACGAAAGATTTACGAGGTGATTTGAGACGATTTAGTTGAGTAATGATATTGCTCTCCAGAGATTTTTGTCAAACGCTACCCATCATCCCGAAATCTACTACTGCCGATGAACTTTATGCATGTCTGAAATCGTCTTTGTGGCGGCATTTTAAGAAGTTGAAACTGACCACGAACATAAAATTGCATTGTAGAACCCATTGACTGCTGAATTTTCGAGAAAACTATTGGCGCTTGCCAATGGTAAAATTCCTGTTTATGTTTCAATTGTATTGATATCGTTCGCGTCAAATTTTTGTGATCTCACATCGTTGAAAGAGGAACTCATCACTAAAGTTTTCCCCGGAATTGTAGAAAATTACGAAAATCTCGATTGGATTTGTGAACGGGAAATATTAGCAACGAAAAATAAGATTATCAATAGCTTTAATTTCATTATTCAAAGTCAAATCGCAGGAGTACTGCATTCGTAAAAATCCGTTGATAGCATGACCGACCACACGAATTAATCAACTATTTGACTGAATTCTTGAACTCGCTTGATGTACTCCACCGCATAATTAACAGCTGAAGGTGGGATCGATCATAATCATGTTGCGGAATCTGAATCATCCGAAATTGTGCACCGGTACGCGATTGTCCGTTAAGAAACTAATGAACAATGTAATTCAAGCAACGATCATCAAGGACAAATTCAAAAAAGAGGAAGTCCTTATATTACTTATTTTACGAATGAACATAAATAGTAAATGTAAATAAATGTACGTATTAAAATAATTAGTGGCTATTAATGATTAATAAATTATACATCTGATCTAAAAGCGCCTAATTTTAAAAGATTTTATGTAGATAATTTTAAAGATGCATACATGCATGTACGTATATAACGCAAAGAAACTGGAATAACTTAGTAAAAAATCAAGAATAGTTACTCGCTCTGCAGAACCAAAAAGAAAAATTGAAAATAAATAACTAGCCAATGTTTGAATAATTAAATTATTATTTGATTTATTAAATAGCTAATAGGTAAATGATATAACATGTGTTTTTAGTTGAAGCATCCTTCTTCTCATTATTATATCTATTATTTGACTAATTAAAATAAAATATAACTATCAACAAATGTTTTAATATATTGTCTGGAGAATACTGATCGAAACTTGTCGACGTAGAAAACGATTACATTTGCTAGTTGCAGTATTGCTTGTCATTTATACTGTTGTATAAAACATGAATGGGCACGGCTACATAATCTAAAAAGACTACATAATTTATTTAAATTTATAAATTAATTTTTCCATTAAAATATTCAACCGATACCTAGATTCTAGTTTTAATATATAAAATTTGTTCTGTAAATTATGTGTTTTCCTCTCTTATCCATTGAAAAAGTTTGCAATTTTTGTATACAAATATTTCATTAATATCATACAATAATATACACCTAAAAATAACAAATACAGTCTAACTGTATAAATAATAACTGTATAACTAAATTAAGTTATACATTTTATATGGGAATATTAATTATTATTGTTCTGTGTGATATACTAGTGAAATAATATAAATTAGTTTTAAATAAATTGTATTTCTATCAGCTGTCAGATCCGGTAGAAACAATTAATTTTAGGCAGCTCGAATATTTTTGATACGTCACTGCTGACACTAGCGGAAAAAAATATTAGCGACATTAAGACATTAGTGAAATAAGACGTTAGTTCACGTGACATAACAGTAGTGTATCTCCAGCTTAAGCACCAATTATGATAATTTTAAGTTTTAAAAATAACTCAATATGGTTGTTGTAATTTATAACAAAAAATTGATTTATAAATGTTATCTAATAATATTACTGATTTTATGATAAATGTAGGAAAGTGTACATGTCATTAGTTATGTTTAAATCTTCTTATCGTGTCCGATGCTGGAATGATTGATAAAATGAAATAACTAAAATAGATAAAATAAAAATAACTAAACTAAAATTAAAATATTAAAAATGTAAAGAAATGAAGGGTTATGTATGTATTTTTTTTTAAGCCATAACGTGTAAATGTTTAAATAATAAGATAGAATTGCAAATATAATTACTCACAACTGTAACTTGTAGTAAAAAAGGAAAGTTAAAAGTTTATCTTAGGTGTAAAATTTTTCCCTTAACTTAAGGAATTAACTTAAGAGACTAACCTTAAATTAAGTTAAGGAAAACATTTTATACCTAAGATACACTTTTAATTCTCCTTTTTTTCTTTTCCATCATAACTCCTACCTTTTTATACTTTATACTCTTTTCTGATGTCTCCCATGATTTTCGATTCCATTTTTAAGGAAATGGTTTTTGTAACCTTAGTTCATAGTTAATATACTAATTCTCATCACCTCTGTATATAATACATTTTTTTAGTTGTCAAGAAACGGGATAAAGGAAAAAAAACATATACTAAATAGGTTTTTCATACAGCCTTAAAATCATAAAAATCATCAAAATGTCCTCCAATGACCACTATATTTCTTTGATGATGATAAGACAAATGTCGTAATACAATTTTACGAATAAATAATAATACGAATTTAAATATTTATTCCGTAGTAAAATTTTAATACAATATTTTTGATAGTAAATTAAAACAACATTACAACATTTTTAAGAATGGTTTAAATAATTATAATATTTTATTATTATTGTAGCTACTATACAATCTATAAGCTATTTGACCTTAATAATAATTTTAGTTGAATAAAATTACGAGTATAACAAGAAGATAAATCATGGTAGGTAGTAATAATTTGGAGAGTATACATTTAAATGGTTAAGGAGTATCCAAAATATTTTTACTTATAGCTGTAAAATTATGATAAGAACAATTAATAATAGGATATGTCAAAAACTATTAGTTAATATTTAAAATGTTGAGCAAAGTTAATAAATTAAATAAATTCACAATTTTTTTT